AGCACTCTCCACATTTTCCCCTTGATCCCGTATTTGGACAGTTGTTTCCACAACCCATTTCTCCATACGGTATCGTATGCCTTTTTCACGTCCAGGAAGAAGCAGTACGTCGGCTTTCCCGCCTTCCTTCTACCTTGGATGATTCTCCCTACCGTGAATACGTAGTCTACGCACCCCCTCTTCTTGCGGAAACCTGCCTGGCCCTCACTAATGCTATGTTCCTTCTCCAATACTCCCACTATCCTATCGTTCAGCAGCTTACAGAACCTACTGTGTTCAACAGTGTGACCCCCCTGTAGTTTCCTGGATCAGTCTTGTCTCCTTTCTTCGACAAGTTCACAACCACTCCTTCCCTCCATCTACTTGGCGTATACTCGTTTTTCCACACCCAATTGTATAGAAGTACCGCCAGCCGGGGGGTGGGGGGGCGCTTGGGCTGGCACAGCGAGCTTCCGCTCCTTCGCGCGTCAGCTCACTGTCCTCGCCGGCTCGACAAACGGCTCGCTTAGCTCGCTAATATCGATATTGATATCGATATCGAACACTTCAGGGGGATATGGTACCGAATCTTTTTATTGAATCGATATCCAACACTACCTTGAACCCTTTGCCTTCTTTTATTATTCCGTACACATGCAGACCCTGTTAATTCTTGATGTCTTCGGTTAGATTCTGTTCTTTCTAGGCAAACACACCAAATATCTTCTCCTTGAACCCCTTTAGGCTCCCGTTTTCAGCATATCGCCTTCGTCAACTTTGAACCCCTTCCATACGCCATCATCACTTGACCTACTTCGTTGGCTGTCTACCCCTCTTCTTGTGTACCCATTTCGCATCCCAACCTGTTCACGGCAACCTTTATTCTCCCATTCCGCACATGCGGTACGGCCTTTTTAGCTTTCTTGCGTCTTGTACCGGTCGTAGGGATCGGATCCCCAATTCTGCCCTGACGGTTGCATTACGTGTGCTCTTGGAGCATCCTAGAATGATTTTCGCTGATTTCATCCGCGCCACCTCGAGCTCTTTGAACACTGCTTCTAGTGTATGCTTCCTTCCCATGCTTTCCCGGCGTACTCTGGCGGCGGTACGATTACGCTCTTCAAAACAGTCAATTTGGTGCGTGTATCGAGGTGCCGGTTGGCTGTTTTTGGGTACAGTTTCCCTGCTCGTGCTTTTGTCCTTTCCGCTTCCTTGGTCATGTGTGCATTCCATCCACAGTCTTTGCGATTTCTACCCCGAGATGTGTGCACTGATCCACTATTGCAAGCTCCTCGACCCCCCACTTCCATCGTTTACTCTATTGGTTTCTCTCTGTCCTCGTTCATATCATGACGGCATTCTTCTCAACGTTAGCAGACAATCTCCACATACCAGCAAAATCCTTCGCTGGGTCAATCTGCGGTTGAAGTCCCTCAGGGGTTTCAGACATCCCAACAACATCACCCGCAAACGGCATTCCCGACACCGTAGTTTCCCTGCCTTTACCCCTCTCCCAACTGTATCCACGACTTTCAACAGATCGTTGATGAACACCTAGAACAATGTTAGAGGCAAGGTGCAACCTTGTGGGACCCTGTTCAACGTTGAAAAATCTAGTGTGCACAGGAAGCCAAAAGCGTGCTCAAGACTGACGCGCCCCTTCCGTTGTCGACAAGTGCGATGGATGCTTGGAAAAGCTCGGAACCTCAAGCGACCTATTGCTGGAGCCCCCACAGTGCATAGATAGCAAGTCGACGTTGACCAGGAACATCATACGTATGCTGCATAGTACTGATGAGCAACATCCATACGCTTATCGTTTGTGAAGTTTAAGCCCTTAGCTGACCAAAAGGGTCGAGCACAGAACACGGACAGTGACGCTCATGCTTCTCCTCTACGTTCTTGTGCGCATTTTCGTGCACATTTTCCTCTGTTGTCGTTCGCTTAGCATTCACCCGAGGAGAAACAAACGGGGAGTACAACGGTCGAGGAGGCCACCAGCCCGACCAACGAGGTAAGTGGCGTGACAAAACTTATTCAGCGGACGTGTCGAGCTCGTCAAATACGTCTGAAAAAGTACATAACGTGAAAAATTCCACTTGTTCACACCATATTCTCCGGCACATGGCGTACTGTGGATTCCCCAAATGGTGGTAGAAACGGTCAAACGTCAAGCTCGTGGCGATTCCCCCAAGCTCTTCCGTGCCCCGTGTGCGTGAGCCTTCGTGGCCGTCGTGCATGGGTTTTGGGTTGTCCTAAAAGCACATCCATATTGCAGAAATGGGAATGTCATTTGGGCTTTGACGTATCGCCGCAAACGGGGTGCGCTTGTAGCTCTGCCTGGATGCCGTCAATTTTACGCCCCGTTTGAGGAAAACGGTCTAGGCATGGGTAGTGAACCCTAAACGAAGGAGAAATTTCGTGTGTAGTCGCCCAGCATTGCTCAAGTCTGGAAATGGGCAATCAATTCAGTATGTTCACGGGTTTACTCAGCAATCTTACCGCCTTGAAATTACCGCCATGGTGGGCGGCAACGGTATTCCGCCGGCTTAGCCGCCTCCCCCACATTCGTTACCGTCGTATAGCATTGCAGCCGCGAAGATCCGCCATATTTTCGTTTCACTGCCTCTGCCAAAGTCGTTACCGCCGAAAGACGCCACACCACCTACCGTAAATTACCGCCATATGAGAAAAATTACCGCCATTTACCGCCAACGGGAAAGTGGGCGATGGGCTGAGTAAGCAGACGCCTCGTCTTGTCGACTGCCCGAGCAAAGCAGGGGTTCGATTCCATGCAAGATACTCGCTTATTTCGTTTGTACTTGGTTTGCCTCAAGCTTTGATGCTAACACGTGGAAATCGCTGGTGAATATTCCAAGCAAACCTTGGAAGTACGTGTACAGATTAACCGTCGGCAAAAAAAAACATCTTTCGTACGGGCGCCCTAGCTTAGCACCACAATGGCCGTTGGGTTGGTGTCGCTTATTCTTACGACCACATGGCGTTCATCGCCGCCGTAAAGTTTCGGTCCTGTTGGGCGGCACTGCCGCTGGTTTACGCCGTTTCTCCGTTTCACCGCTTCCGCGAAGGTTGTTTTCGCCGAAAAACTCAAATACCGCCTACCGCCGAAATTTTTCCACCGTATGGCGTTGCCGCCGAACTATATAATTATTTTTTTTTCGCCTACGCCACAGTCGGTACCGCCGAAAACACATTACAGCAGTACTGCGTACCGCCGGAAAATCACGGTTGTTTGGCATTACGACCGTTGACGTTCGCCTTTTTGACCTTTACCGAATCAAACCCCTAGAATTTTTCGAATGCTAATACTGTAGGCCCATACTTCTAGCGTCCTTTCACGTATGTACAACCGATGCAAACCCTAAAGTTTCAAGCTAACGTTGAAGTTGAAGCCTTGCGCGATTTTGAAGCCTACCCTGATGACAATGTAGAGCTAGAGCATATCAAACCCTTGATTATGCGCAAATCCATTCCGCACCCCCCTGCAGGAGGAAGTAAGGACGAAGCGGCTGTACAGCAAAGCCAAGGGTCCTGCCGAGGCCCCACTACTTCAAGACTGGTTCATACAACGTGAGCCGGTAGTTGCTGCGATATGCGACCGTCTCGGAGTCAACGATCGTGGCGGCAGCAGAGCCTCGGGAGAGCCGCCGGTGGTCGGCGTGGCGGGACCCAGCGGCGCCGGAAAGTCAACCATTGCTTCGATGATCATTGCTCGGAACGACGTGCGAGGGCATTTCTCCGAGAAGCGAATTGTCTGGCTCCCCGTTGGCCAGGGGGCGCGGGACCGCCTCCTGGACGTCATGTACCGTCTTGCCGTCATGGTGCACGAGCTCGTCGTAAACTCGTCGTCGTTCCCCGACGACGGCCCGTTCAGACCACCTCAGCCGCCAGACATCGGAGTGGAGCCCGAGGACGGGGCGGCGTATGTTCGCGAGATCCTAACGGCGGACGAGGGCGAACGAAGCAGTGGCGGTTTCGGGGAGCTGCTGGTGGTGGCCGATGATATCTGGGAAGCTGAGGTTTTGGCGGAGCTGAGGAGCACGGGGGCGTCGATCCTCTACACCACTCGGTCCGAAGAGGATCTGCTGGCGGCCAGCGGCGGTAGTGACGTCCTACGAGTAGATGAGGTCACGGAGGGGGAGGCCGAAGAAATACTCCGCAGGGCAGCCGACCTCCTCGACCATACCAAGCTTCCGGATGCAGCTCATGACATTATTCGACGGGGTGGACCCGTGGCGATGGACGTTGCCTACGTGGGGAGATGGGACATAGTCCGCGGCAATAACGACCAGGCAGCGTGGGCGGTGGTGTTAGCCCATGTCATCGACGCCCAGAATTTCATGAAAGGAGCCGCGCTGCTGCCTTGGAGATCAGCCGTGCTTCGGGTCGGGCTGACCAGGTTAGGCCTTGCTGACCAGGGCACCAAGGAGCTCTACCTGTCCTTGGGGGTTCTACCTCGCAACCTTTCCTTTTCGGTTGGCGACGTCACGGCACTTGTGAGCGACGGCTCGGCTGAAGAACTTCAAGCGGCGACACTAGCCATTACAACCCTCGAACAGTGGTCCGTGTTGGTGAGAACAGAAGGAGGAAGGTACCGGGTACACCACTCGCACGCGGACATGGCCTGGCAGGGTATATCCGAAGACCCAGCTACCTTGGGCTCAGCTCTAGCAAGGTGGCGTAACCGCGTATCCACGGCAGAGGCAGTGCTAGCGTGGCGCACCGAGGAGCTTGTGGACATCTGGCAGGCTATATGGAGCCTGGAAATCGGCGAGGGGGCTGCAGAGATTGGCCAACCCTACTCTGAAATTGTCGACGCTATGAACCTATCGGATGCCGGCGCATTTCAGCTTCTTCGTCGGATTGCGTTCTTCCAGTGGATGACAAATGAACCCGATGCGGCCTGCATGTCCTGGTCAAAGTTGCTCGCCTCGGGCGAGGACTCCGCCGCGAACGATCCAGACGTACACGCGATCATGTATACGCTCGGGGCGCACGCGTTGGTTTCAGGGCGGACACACGAAGCCGAGGGTTGGTTCAGGCGAACACTGGCCATCGAAGAAAAAGTTCTCGATTCTGACGACCCCGCCATCGCAGATACGCTTCATCAGATCGCGTCGTGCGCGTTTCGCGAGGGCAGGGTGAAAGAAGCAGAGTCGTTTCACTTGCGCGCCCTGGCCGTCAGAGAGAGCTTGCAAGGCCACGAGCATCTGGAGGTGGCCAAAACCTTACACTCGCTCGGCTTGTGCATTTTGAAAATGAATACCAGAGCTAAGGAAGCCGAAGGATACCTCCGTAGAGCGCTGCGGATCTTCTCGGAGAAGCTGGGAGCAACAGACACTACGGCTTCTACCGCGATGTACGATCTCGGACGCTGTCTTTCGTTGGCAGGGCAGACCAGAGAAGCTGAAGAGTACCTCCAGAGGGCCCTGTCCATTCAGGGAAATAGGCAGGGCCTCAAAAGCACTGCGGTGGCGAACACGCTGTATGCACTGGGAGGATGTATGGCAGACGCGGGGCAGCCTGCAGTTGCGGGTGTCTTCTACAGGCGAGCGCTCGCTATCCGGGAAGAGAGCTTGGTAGCGGATGATCCATCAACCGTGCGAACCGTGCGCGCCCTCGCACAGGTGCTGCTCGACACTGGGAACACCGAGGAAGCGCAAGGCTTGTTCCAGAGAGCGCTCGAGAGCGTGGAGAACGTTCTCGGCAGCAACCACCGGGAGGTGGCCGTGCTGTTTCATGGCCTTGGAGCGTGCGCTCTAGCCAAACAGAAGCCAGAGGAAGCCGAGCAGCAGTTTCAGAGGGCTCTGGCTATCAGAGAGAGGTCGCTGGGGGCTGACCAGTCAAGCATCGCGCACACCCTGTACGACTTAGGAAGGTGTGCATCGCAGGCCGGGCGGATGGAACAAGCGGAGGATTTCTACCGAAGATCGCTCATCATTGAGGAAGCAAACCTAGGCGAGCACCACGAGGAGGTGGCTACCGTGCTGTACTCGCTCTCGGTGTGCGTGGCGGAGCAGGGGGGGCGCAACAAGGAGGTGGAGGGTCTGCTTGAACGAGTCGTGGAGATCAAGGAGATAAACCGAAAGGCGATGAAATCGACGGAACGCAACGACGTAGAGCTCGCAGACATCCTCGGCGGGCTAGGGGCTGCCTCTTTCCGGGCAGGCCATCTGGACGCTGCGGCTAAGCATATCCGTCATGCTCTAGCGATCTACGAGAAGGCCCTAGATGCTCACCACCCCAAGATCTCCTTCACCCTGAACGCGCTGGGCAAGTGCCTGTTGAAGGCGGGTCGAGCGGAGGAGGCCGAAGTCTCTTTCCGGCGGGTGCTGGACATGGCCACCGCTGAAGGCGAGCACAAGGGAGGCGGAGACTCTGGCCACAACTGTTGCCATCCACCCGTTGGCGACACTTTACATTTTTTGGGACAATGCGCCATGTTCGAAGGGCGTACGGAGGAAGCGCGTCGACTGTTTCACCGTGCGCTCGAGGCAAGGGAAGATCACTTGGGCCCGGACCACCCCAGGGTTGCGCTAACCCTGTACAGCATCGGACGATGTTTCTTCGACGAGGGCAACCTGGAAGAAGCCGACCACTATCTCAACTGCGCGTTGTCGATACAGGAAAAAATGCTTGATCCTGAACACCCAGCCATAGCTGCCACCCGGGCCGGCCGCGAATCCATCAGGCGGAAGCAAGTCTACTTTCGTTAAAGCGCAAGTCTACTTTCGTGGGCGATCGAAATGAAGGTGTCATCACGTAGGCAGTAGCACAGCAGTCGTTTCGTCAACGTCCCTATTTTTTTAGGGGAACAGCTTACTTCGAAGAAGTCTGGTGGCCATGTTTCTTGGTTGGCTGACTCCTACCTTTTGGAGAGTAGTACGTCAGTACCATTTCGCGGGTGTGTGTTGAACTCACACCAGGAGAGAGAGAGAGGCACGGGGTACTCATGAAGATGTTTGTCGCAGTCCCTATATCATTGATTTGAATCTGTACAACACGGGATGTGGAGAGAGGGTAATGGATAGAGACACAGGGATTAAAACAGGGGTGAAAAGAGAGACAGGCACGGCAGAGGGAGAGAGACGGGGGTGGCAAGGTTAACGGAACAAAACAATTGACCACTCAAAGGTATGGGTAAAAGTATTTTCTAAACCCTACTATAAGGTCGTTTACAAATTTGCTTGTTTTGGATGCATTTTAGGGGATGAGGGGACGACATGACTACCCGCCCTCCCCCAAGCGCAATATGACATACTACCCCTAAATGGTACATGACAAGATCATGTTATTTCATGGATTATGTGTATAGGGGGCACCGTGTGATGTAAGGTGTGAATGTGCGTGCCCGCTAGCCATGGGCGCTGGCCACGTCTGTGCACGCTGTGCTGCTTACCACCTTGGACGACGAGAGGGGGAGCACGATGAGCGCCCCCTGCGCCCTCAGGGGGGAGGCAGTGGAGAAGAGGGACGGAGGGAGGGGGAGGAGGAAGAAGAGCCGGACGAAAGCTCGATGGAGAGTCATGCGCCCTGCAACAGCGTTTTATGAGTTGGCGTTTTTCACGGTGCGGTCAATATATTTATCGGAAAGAAGTATTATTGGTGAGTGGTAGATGGAACGGAACAGTCATCTTTTTACCAGCACTTCATCGTGTATCCCCTGTTTTTGTTGACCGTTGGGGCTATTGTAGTCCACGAAGAGGCGTGTTTATTGTCCGGGCTTGAGTATTACTGGAAATTGATCCCAAGGACTTTGTGTTTTGTTTTTTGTTTTTGTTTTTCTCCCATCATCATTGGACTCTGTCGTCTGCCCCTCTGGCCCCTATCCTCCACTTCTACTAGCTAGACGACCCAACCGGGTCACATAGGAGGGGGGGGTTGGACCCCCTCCTGCGGTTCATGCCTGAGGTATTTTTATCGCGAGAAGGGTACAGCAATCCCTTCCCTCGCGACTTAGGAAGTCGATTATGGTTTACTAACAAACGAGCTTTGCAGCGCGTCGCTTTCATCCTAGACCAGGGTTTATTTAGTGAGAAAAAAACTCTCGTTGCCGGGACTCGAACCCATGACCTGATCCTTAGCAGACTGCGAGGCTACCCACCAGACCACCGGGGCGACCGGATTGTGTATAGGTGGTTTGATGCGTGGTTTGCCAACAAGTTTTGGGTGCACAGCCTCAAGGGCAAGATTCATTTTTCAAGTTTCAAATTTCTATCACGTCGAATGTAGACTGATGGCAGCTGTTTCGTGGTCGCGTCAGAAATTCCCATTTGCAAAGAGGGAGAACATCAATATATAGGGGGGTTTACTATCTGGATACAAGCATGCGGGCGTAACGTTTTTCGCGTACCGTTTTTGAGTGTTTCTATGCTACAGCGTGGAGAAACCGGATCACATCTCGCGTCTGTCTGTACATAGTTGCCTACCGTATTGTTGGTTCTCTCAACAGAATAAACATGGGCGTCTGTCCGGTGCTGTCCGGAGTGTACGTAACAGTAGTATGACTGTGGCCGCGCACAGGGCGCGTGTGGCGTGGATCTCAGGGCAATCCCTCAAGTTCCGCCGTAGTCCACACCGCCCGAAGTGTGGATACCGGACAACCACCGATAAAGGGAACCTGGCACGACCATTTCTTTGTTGGGAGACACCCGCCACCATGCCGTGGGGAAGCTTCATCGATCACTGTGGCGCATCGACAACAGCGCTTCACATTGCGATAAAAATACCTCAGGCATGAACCGCAGGAGGGGGTCCAGCCCCCCCCCCCTCCTATGTGACCTCGGTTGGGTCGTCTAGCTAGTAGACGTGGAGGATAGGGGCCAGAGGAGCAGACGACAGAATCCGATGATGGGAGAAAAAAAAAAAAAAGTACGTGTAGATCCCATGTGCAGCAAGTTGTGCATCCGTGAGAGTTGTTGCGAAGGTGTACCGATTCTGGTAGAAGTCAATCGACGCATACCCTGTGAATCGGGTTCTGTCCCACCCAGCATTTCACAACACAACTGATTGCCTGGACAAAGCACAGAAAGACTTGGTCCCCCCCCCCTCTCATTGGCGATGTCTCGGCGTGCTGTGATCATTTTTCTTTTCCAGTTCCCCTCCATTACCCCTCGTGAACAACAAAAAAGCCCAAATATACAATCTCACGTTCTTCGAGAGCATGAAAATACGTCAAAACACCCGTCGAAGTTCAACCCACACTCACCCTACATCTTCATCTCCACATCCATTCATCGCACCAGGCTATTATTGGGGAAATCGGAAACCGCACACGTCCCTGGAGCGTACACTGTTAACAACTGAATACATATGTGATTGCGATATGGAGCGGACATGACTATCGTAGTCCCTAAAGTGGTAATTTTCAAGGACCCGATTTTGGTTGTCCCTCCATAACTTTTGACTGAGAGCGAGTAAAAGAAAAAGAAAAACAGCTTCGGAACGCCCGCGGCAAGGCGCAAAAGAGTAGCGAGTCGCCAAAAAAAAAAGGAAAAAAAGAGATAAAAAAGAAAAAAAGATGCTCGCGGCGGGTCTCGAACCCACGAAATTGGCCCTAGAGCAACTTTTCCCCATATATGTTCCTAATCCTTGTTTTATTTTTTTCGCACCAAACCACCCACGCGTGCACAGGAACGCCCTCAAACACTATGCAAATGCCTCTACCGCACCTATAGCGTACATACATCACAAAAATTGGCCGTTTTGAACAAAAGTGTTCCATTTTTGTACAACATTCCCACCAGAAACACGGAAAAAAACTGAACAAATACAGCTCAATGAACAAGAATGCGCCATCGACTCTACGGCCTCCATTCCTTCGGGGTCCGGCGCCTGTGCGACTTGTACTTCTTGTACGTCTTCTTGCCCTCAGGCCCTTGCACACGCGTCTCGCGGTACATGAGGGCGTGTGTGTACGCCTTCTTGCAGTAGCCCTGGACTACCGAAACAGCCTGTCTATCCTTCTCTGGTCTAAAACTCAGCGGCACGTTCTTGCGCAAGCATTCCAACGAATATTTGCAGTTCTTTCGAGTCCAGTCCTTCGCTCGGCCCCAAACAAGCTCGATGGGGTTATACTCGCAGTGGTACTTAGGAAGCATGAGACAGGCCCCCCCGTGGCGCTGCATCAACAGCACCAGACTAGAATCAACTTCCTTGAAGTCCTTCTGCTCTCCCAAAACGTGCTCCATGCTCTTGCTGAGGTCCTGCTTTTCGCCCGAGCCCCCCGTCTTACTCATGCCTTTGACCAGGAGCCCCCTCTCCCACAAAATCTGCCGCATTCCTTTCAACTTTCCGACATATTGCGCCGGCTTGAGATGCGGGGAGTGGAAGGGGGGATCGTCCCCCCTCCGAAACACCAAGTGCTGTACCGTGCCGGCTGGGAGGTTCGGGGTATCTTCGAGGATGGTCACGGGGTCCATCGGCGCAAGCTCTTCTCCGTTCCTCACACCACCGACACCCAAGTTCATTCTCTTCACCGACGGTGCGCCGACCTCCATGCAGTCATGACAGGACGACCAGTCGAACAGGCCTACAGGCTTGTGCTCAGGGTAGAGAACTGTGAACATGTCGAGCACGTCTGACATGTGGTCCAGCATCCTGAGCCCGGTCCAGTATCCCTCCTTGTTCTTGCCGTACTCGAAGAGGTGGTAGGATCAGTACTATCCATGCCTGTCTTCATGAAGCATGTCGATGGGGCGGAACTTCTCCACCTTCACGTTTTCCCCGTCGCTTCGCGGCAGCTGAGGCGGCGCATCGTTTCCTGCGGTTGCGCTCCGCGTCCTGGATCTGTGCCCGCGACGCCGAGAAGAAGCCAACGTTGTGGAGTATCGTCCCCGACACCATGATCCCCTGGCCTTGTGACTTCTTCACGGGCACATGCTGACCGTCCCGATACCACGCGCGCCTCTGGTCGTCGTTGGCTGCAAATGCAAACAAGAAACCGACAATTCAGGGGCGGCAGATGTGGCGCTGCCAACATGTGTGATTAAATTTAAAGTCCCACAATTGAATTGCGAGCAAGATTACTGTTCGCGCCCGGAATTTACACCTAAATTATCGAACCCGCTTTGCTCCGTTTAAAACTAACCTCGAAATATGCTCTCGTCCTGGGAGAGAAGCATGGCCCGCCTCCCGTCAGGGTAGGTTTTCATGCTCTGCACTCTGGCTTGCAGGTCTTCGGGCATCCCAGTCAGCAGCAGTCACCTCGTCTATGATGATTCCCTCCGCGACGGCGTCGCGGCCGCGTGGCTTCCCAGACGTGATCCAGCGGCTCCGCCATTTCAACTCAGTATTATTGTTGGCTCGCGACCTTGAGTGCAGCACTAACCGATACTTTCGTGGCTTCTGTCTCTCGATGCTGAGCTTGTCGCGCAGCGTGTATCCGTCGGGAACCAACTGCTGCAGGCAGGAGACCCTCTCTTGGTCAAGTTCCATTTGGTTGCCGGTCTTCACAACAACATGTATGTGTACACCTACCGGCGGCTGTGTGCGACGCGGCCCAAGCGGTGGTTCGGCCGCGATTTTTTTGAAATTTGAAACTTGGTTTTAGGCCTGTCCTCCATCGGCCGTTTTATTTTCGATTTAGATACACAAACTTTATTTCGATACTAATTTCAAGTAATTCCACCTTCTTATTCTCCGTCATACAAGCAAAACGGCCGATGGAGGACAGGCATAAGACTTGGTTTATTTCTGTCTAGGGCCTGGCAAAAAAGAGTTCTGAACCAGGTGATTTAGAACCAGTTTGTTTTAAGGATTCCAAAAAAATATATATATTTTCACAGCGGTGGTGGGGGCACGACAAATCGTAATTTACCGGTTCCGCCGCGTTTTTGGTGAAACCGTATATTCGGCATAACTCGTCACCAAGGTGTCTGTGAAAGCTAAAAGTGGGTTCATTCGAAAGCCCTGGATCATAGCTTTCGAATGGTGTATATGTTGTTGGGTAAATAACCAGGCCCTAGAGAGAAATTTATCAAGTGGCCTGTGGGCGGGTNTAAGGATTCCAAAAAAATATATATATTTTCACAGCGGTGGTGGGGGCACGACAAATCGTAATTTACCGGTTCCGCCGCGTTTTTGGTGAAACCGTATATTCGGCATAACTCGTCACCAAGGTGTCTGTGAAAGCTAAAAGTGGGTTCATTCGAAAGCCCTGGATCATAGCTTTCGAATGGTGTATATGTTGTTGGGTAAATAACCAGGCCCTAGAGAGAAATTTATCAAGTGGCCTGTGGGCGGGTCCAGGAAAACTACCACTTTAGCCAATCCTGCTGCACCATCGTATGTTGTATACCGGTGGCGAAACATGCGGCTGAATTGTTACCGTTTCGGCGATTGTGTTCTGTGCAGTTCATAGTTACTTGTACTTCAGGACGGGCGACAGCAATTAGTTGTTCTGACTTATTGCACGATCACCTCATCCTCCATAGTTCATGTTGGCCTAGCCTGCTTAGATGCAGCGAAGAACAATGGACAACGATGAAGTTGACTATCGCGAACTACTGCTGCATAAAACACCAGAGCAACGAAAGATTCAGCGGTTGGAGTGGAAGTGGGCCCGAAAACTGCCGAAGTGGGAGAGGGCCACACTGAGAGTGCAGGCATGGTATCGGTGAGCCACGATCCCCGATAAACACAACTAGCGTTCTTCTGAATTCACCAACTGTTCCTTCTCGGGCGTCCTTGTCTGCCCAGGGGCAAATCGAGTCTCCAAAACCAGTGCAAGTTGAGCCTTTTTTCCTGCACCAGAATGTTTTCACAGCGGGTCGCAACCGCTGTAGAGAAGGGGAGACACCAGAGAGCAAGAAGCGAAACACGTGCCAACATCCGTATCGATGCCCTTGCATGGGTGGGAGAGCAGGATCAGCGAAGAAATGTGTTACCACTGTACACATATTGTCCGTCTTCTAGTGCCGAGCCGCCGGCGGTACGCCAATCCGGAGCGTGTGTAACCATGTTCCGTCGATGCCTCTGGACGGTTGGCTGTAGGCGGGATGCCCGTACGTTGTAGCTGCAGAGGTAGGGGTCCCACGCCAACTTTTCCCGTTCAGCAGCTTGAGAATAATAAGGGATATTCTGCCATTGAAGACTACGTACGTAAAGCACGAATTAGTCTCAAGTGTAGTCCATGTTGCTATTTTTGTTGTTTTCACAGTAAAATCGTTTCGGTCTCTGTTCGTACCTCCTTGCAAGTAGTATCCGTACTGGCCCATCTGACGCTGGCGCCTCCCGTGGCTACAGGCCAACGCGAAGATGGTTCACACTTCTAGAAATCAACGGAATAAAATGAACTCAGAAAATCCTCTCACGGACGCCATGCAAGAGCATCTCACACAAATAAACCGGGGGGCGAGCGATCCGGGAAAACAATTGTAATGTAGGATACAAGGACACCCCATCCAGGCAAAAAGAAAGAAAGCCCACCGCTCCCGCTTGGCACGCTATATCGAGAATAATTGAAAAAGAAAAATACCTAATCGAAGATAACCAATCAAGGCAAATGATACGAAAGAGTCGCCTATTCTCCACCCTCAGTAACATCCCCGTACGCCCTTCTCCACTCTCGCTGCGAGAGTTCAACAGGCACGAGGTACCCCGAACATTCTCTTGTCGTCTTCCGTGGATTCGTCTGTGGCACTGAACTCCTCGATGTCGTCTTCAAGGTAGTCCAGCCAGTTCTACTCCGGACGCCCGTTGCCTCTCCACAACTTTCCCGACAATCAACCGTGTCCGGAAACGCCTGTCCGGTTGTGTAGGCCTGGGCAAACTGTACGCAAACCTTGTTTATCCACGTGACGCTTTCTTACGCCTACCACCCTTCCTTCCGTTTCGACGGCCGTGCAACGTTTCTGCACATGATTTGATGGTCCCTTCAACTTGTTCCGTCGGGTCATCACGCAAAGAGGGTGCTTGGGCCGCGCGCGAGCAAAGAGAGCACGAGCAAGGAGGGCGCCGGTTCTGGAGTCTCGGCGCCTGCAAGCAATCGCCGAGGAGGCCGTCCAAGGCGGGCGGTTCGAAGATGCCATGCACTACCTTACCGAGGTTGGTGGAGAGACCTGGATGGTTCAGTCCAAACCGCGACGTCCTTGTTCAGCCTGCACCGTAAGTCAACACGGTCCAATGTGCTCTGGGGGTAGGACAAGATGATGCGCCGCGGTCAAGGGGACGCACTATACAGTAGTAGGCAGAGAGTGACACTGCCCTACTTGCCTACGGTGTGTCAGGAAAATAAATGAAACCTTGGGGATAGCACGCGTAGGCTATTATGTAAAGGGTTGCTCATGTGGGAACGTGCAGGAACTACGGTTGTGTTCCGCCGTTTTGTTTCGTATCTCCGTATTCTTCCGAATACCCGAAAATTGACTTATTCTACGCCCCGCTACACCCCAGTCAATCGAGCAACATACCTCCACCTACTGGCCAGCTTACTCGCTGCGAGGGCGGGTGAGGTACAAATCTGGCGATGTCGTCGGGGCACTGCGGGACCTAACGGTGTGCGTTGATGAGGCACCTCACGATCGAGCCGCGCTGAAGACTCGCGCAAGGTACGAATCGTTGTGCCCCTATTGCCATCCGTGATGAATAGGGGGTCTTCCAGCTCATTTGTCGTTGGCAATAGCACGCGGACTTGGTTGGGTTTGACAGAGCGACAACTTTAAGCGCATACACTAGTTAGTGTGGGTTGGACACCTGAGTGAGTGCCCTTCAAAAGAAGTAACGAGGCCATGCAGGCACAAGGGAAGACGTCGAGAATTGCGAAGCACACAAACTGCAGTTCGTTAAACTATTAGCCGCACCATTCTTGCGAACAACGTACCGTGAACTTCGTTGCCCAAGGACAAGAACTTCGTGTTCATCCCGGTAGTTGTTAGTGGCGAACGCCCAAGGCGATGCGTACGTTCGAGTATAGCATACATACTCTCGTTGGTAAGAGAAGCATCCAGTAGGCGCTGGCTCGTCACTCTAAAGGTTATTTTATTCCGGGAGGTCGCTTGGCCCGCCCGTGAGTATTTCATCACAGCGCTTCTTCTTTTCGCGGCGATCTTTTCGCTGCGACACCACCGACAGGCTATTTGCAAGCCAAGAGCGCTGGGAGGACGCATCGCGCGACCTTTCTGCTGGACTGCGCGGGGATCCCAACGATGTGAGACACGCGCCAAGCTTGCTGGTGCCGGGTACAAAGTGAATTAATCACAGCAGTAGCAGCAGGTGCTGGAGACGTAGTTCAGCACGAACTCGTGCACGTTCCAGCAGCCGCACGTTTAGAGAAAATGCAGCACATCATGGGAGGCTAGTTGCGCGGGAGCGGTGGTGTTAATCGTCCCGTGTTCTTTGAGGACACCCTAGCTACGCCATTCCGTGTACAGCTACAGTCAACAGATCCGGACGCCTCCCATTGCCACCGTGCCTCAAAAACGTCCCTTCTCGGCAACGAACGGCGCTCTTGGATCCAACCTACCGGGCGGGACGCCTGGATGCAACACCAGCTGGAGGGGTATCTCCTTCGCGGAAACGCCTTGATACACGTAAGAGGGCGACGCGTAAAGCAGCCGGAATCTTTGCAGAGAGGGAATCAAAACGTTCCAAACGAAGG